CTGTGACGTCGCAACTCCCGAGGGCGAGGGTTTTCAAAATTGGCGGCAGGAAATCCACGACCAGCCACGACAGGGAAAATCGATTACGGGCCTGGTGCGGGGCGCAACGCCGCCGCGAAACGGCGAAACGTGGCAACCGGGCCGGGGTGGCGCACACTGTCTCCCCCCTCCCTCAGCGTAACTCCCGAGGTCCCGCTGGCCTAAATCGGATTCACTGTTCGACGAGCCGGTGTCCTGAGCGTCATGGATCAACGACCCACATCTTGCGGCGACAACGTACTTTGTAAGGCCACCTCCTCGATCTCTCGGTAAGCGCGGATTCGGCCGGGACCCGTGTGTCAACAAGGATTTCTCGTGATACCGAGCGTATGGGCTCGTTACATTTTATTGTATAAAGTACCGAAAATCTAGAGTGATACGCACGGGACTTGTGTCGATTTCCGCGTAATTGCATAATTAAGTATCTCCTAGCCTTCTTCGCCTTTCCGAGGGGCACCGAAATGAGTCGACAGTCGCTGTAAAATCATGCAAATTATTGTCTTGTTATATCAAGTCCTTTGTCCAAGAACATTGTAGATTATTATCGCTGGATTAGAGTAAGGTATTCACGATCCCGAGCTGATAGTGAGAAAAGAAGCTTAACGACATTGATAATTATAAAACCCAGCGATCTCCTTCGAGCTCGATAGTACACTGCTTTACAACCATTGTTTGCTACATACCAACGAAGTGAAATATACTCTTATTATTTTATATTACGTCTGATGGTTGATTATATATATGGATATTTCCTCTCTCTCCGAGACTACGATTCCGACTCTCTTAGCGTAAAGAACCCCGACACTCTACCCCATGTCAATACCAAGCTTCCGAGGCTAAGCCGTTGTGCCCGCTGATTAGTTGTCGCGATCTTAATGAGTGGTGCGGCTTGACCGTACCTGACGCCCAATCTTTGATTCCGAGTAGTGATCGAATTAACACGAGAGCGGCACGACGAAGTTGCGCGTCGGTCTCTCTCTCGCTCTCTCTCTTGGCGAGAGAGGACGGAGAGACGGTGGCAGAGGATGTGAAATATAATTCTCATGATATAATTTCATGACAATAGGCCAAATAACAATTTTCGAGTTTTTATAAATTTACATGCCATCAATGTGAATTAAAATTGATATTTTATCTTCACTATATATTTGAGGAGAAATTATTTTTTAGAGACCGTTCTTAATTCCTAAATAAGTAAATTTACCACTTCTACTTTTAGAACTTTGCATAACTTGTAATTCCCGACGATGTTGGGTGCCAAGTAAACTCTGAGCTGTTTTAGGAAGATTGTAACCTTCTCTCAAAATAAGTAATAGGTCAGAAACCACATTAAGACGTAAAGTACTCAAGTTACGGAGAGTCTAATTGGTTAATTTTTCTTTAAATTGAATATTACGTTGATCATCACTGGGAACATTTTCAATTATAGCTTTATTCGAAATTTTGGTCAGTATCATTATTGTCTGTACCAGAAATACTTATATGCTCTTCAAAACTTTTAACTGATACAGATATTTCTTCCCGCAAATACATTGATGCAGATATTGAACTGTCATGGGAAGATGTTAAACTGTTATCAGTTATTTGACACTCAATGTTTTATACTACACCACTAGGACCCGGCTGACCCTCACAATGAATAAAAGTCTCATTTGTTTTTTTTTTTTAATATCTTTCTTCTACCTGAAATTCTTTCTTCATTTGACGGTATTTCTTCTGTCTATAAGCTCCACTTGATGCCATAATAAAAAACCTCCTTTTTATGCGTTTTTATTTTGCCGCTTACTGATTGTGAGTATTAAAAAGTAAATAAACGCACTTAAACCAAAAAGAAATAAAAAATATATACTTGAAACAATTAAACGATTGCAACACTTTAAATAATTTGTTCATTAAAATATTAAGAAAGTAAATGTTACACGTCACTTTGGTTTATTTTAAATTATCCCGTAACTTATTTATTATAAATGTAATTTAGAGTACATGTGAAAAGACAGTTAGAAAATTGTACGTGTTTACAAGACTTAAGAAGGCTCAAGACTGTCGAGTCTCTTTTTAGCTCAACCTCTTATATGTTAGCTGCCAAAAAACAATCGTTTCGCGCACCGATATACAGTTACCTCCTTATTTGAGAGTTTCATCGTCGTTTAGTCAAGTGTTCTCAAATATTTAGATATCGAATATTTTACACTACTTTTATTAGATTATGACTGCTAATATTTGGATTTTCAATCTTTTAGACTAAGCATATGTACTTGGCAGTTCGATTCTCGACTATTGTTTAAACCATAATTGACTGACCAATCTTGGCATACTTAAAATAAAAGTTAATATTTAATCTCAAGCCAAGCATTGGCATTATTTAAAGTTTAAAGTGTGCCAATATCGGTCAGTCAATAAACAGTGGCCAAAAATCGGCCTGACAATATTGGACCTCCAATCTTAGGCCAAGCATTGGTTTTATGTAAAATATGCCAAGATTAGCCATTCAATAATGGCCTAAATATCTGGCTTTAGTAGAATTACCAATGTTGGTGACAAAATATTTGGCCGAGTATTGGCCGAATTTAGACGCTCGACTATTGGATATGCGATAACGCACCAAGCATACGTTCCTTTTATAAGTAATAAATAATAATTGTGCAATCTCGATATATCAAACACAAGCGAGAATAGAACGCTGATGGAAATTTGTCTTTATGAATTTCATCGATTTAAATGTACATGCAAATAGAGTATAAGATATAGAATAAGAATTAAAAAAGCATATAGAATAAAAATGATAAAAATAATGTAATTATTATTTGATATATCTTATATTGTTGATGTTAACATTCCCTAATTGAAAAATTAATACGCCATTACGTAGACTTAATTTTAAAGTAGAATTAATCTATCTTTGAAGATGTTTCTCACTCATATTTGATATTTGACGATCAGACAGCTTTGGCCGTGCAAACTAAATATGATTGAAGACAGTTTCTTCATGCTTAAAACAGAATTTGAGTCTTTCTGTAAGTATTACATCACGCTTGTAAGACTAAATTCATATCAATAAAATCAAAGTAAAAAAAGATATTATTACAAAAATTCACGATTCGTAAATGAGAACATACGAATAAATTAAAAAAACGGAACATATAATACCTCTGATAAATATTCGTTTTACTAATTAGTTATTTGGTTTAATTATTCTTGTATATAGTTTAATATGTATTCCACAGGCATACCAAAAAAAGTTGGTTGTTTGTTAGATTAAACCACCATTTATATATATAAAAAATATAAAAAAGATTAAAATTAAAAAAATTTTTTTTTTAATTTTAAAAATTGAAGTAATGCGGGCTCTTAAAGAATATTTAGAGACAGTCTCAACCCTGTGGCATGCAGAGAGCTTCTAATAAATATGAAAACTCAAAAATATAAAATAAAAAAACCATTAAAATAAAATAATTAGTCGACATTGAGCAATTAACTTTGAAAAAATGTCATAACATAAGAAAAACGCTGTTTTTTTGCTATCTTTGGATTTTGGAGCCGTTATATTAAAATCCATGTTCTTTTTTTAAACTCTTAGTAGTTTCTTAAAGTGGGTATATTAATACAATTTTCAAGAGTGTAAAAAATTTTTAGGTTATATAATTTTTTGTGCACAACAGATTAATAAATTATTTCATGTATTTTTTTATAATACAACAGCCATTTTGAGGTCGCCATATTGGATTTTTGTAAAATACCATATGGCATTACAAAATACATATATTAAAGTAATTTTTTCAACCAAGAGGGATTTTTAGCTAGTTCCCAATTTTGGTTGTAAAGCTGTTCCGGTTGACGCGGAACGTCCCATATATAAGATCAAATATAATTTTAATCTATCAGAAAAATTTTAGTTTGCATATGAGTCATTCTACGTCAACCGTGGACCACCTCTCTGCCGAGAACAGATTACAATTTAAAAATTTTTTCGAGGGTGTAAAATTTGCTAAAGGTAAAAAATATAATATTTTAAATGCCGTGTGCTAAATGTACTAAAACTAAAAATTGGTGAGTCTAATTATATTATCGTTTACAAAATCATATATGATTTAATTCCGCTTTCACGAACAGGTAGTAAATATATAGACAGAGATAATATTTATTTTGTGTTAAAATTATAATTTTTTAAAATATATTCTCATTTTATTTAGTATATTTTAATGTAATAATGACTATTATATAGCAAATCTCGGGATTCTTTAGATTCAAATAGAGTCGCGTACATTATATATTTCTGTTGGTATTAACAATGTATTTCAGCAAATCGTTTCGCAATTTAGGTATAAACAAAATAAGTTCAATATTAAGGTATAACTTTCACTTCGTAGACGACTGAAAGTATATTTGAATGAATGTCATCTTTTATTAAATAAAAATTAATTGAAGCAGCTCTACTTTTTGTATGAATATATGTATGTACATTCATGAAAGAAGAGAAGAGAGATGCGTCGAACAGTATACAAAAACTATCAACCTGACATTTAACAGATAAATGTCTATTTAATGAATAATGCTGATAAAATAAATTTTATTTCATATTTTTTCTTATGCTTCGCAGAGATATAATTCAAAATTGTTTGATTCATATTCTTCATTTACAAATCATATAAATTTAAATTAGGAAGTATTTTATATATCAATCAACTTACAAATCAAAAAAGTCTTAATATTTATTACAGCAAACGATTTCGACGCAATATTGTTTATGTTTTTAAAATTTAATAAGATAGTTACTAATTTTTTTTTGTATTTTTACGATAAAAACATTCAATGATTTATCACCTTTGATTTTATAATTTATGCTGTCATTAAAAGACTGCGATATTTAAACAACAGAATACATACATGCATTGAACAAAATGTACGTTGTTCATCATTTATCCTTAAAATAACGCAATAATTAAGTAAATTATCTCGAATTTTTTTATGTTTAATTACTTGTTATTATTTAGTCATTTATGAGTCACTAGTCGCGATCATTTTAATAGTATCAATTATCAAGTGTTACTCCATCACAATTGATGCTGGTACCTATGATAGTGAAATTTTGATCCCTTAACTGCATCAAAATTTCCTCGATTTCGTCGTCTGTAATGTTTGGTGGTAATAGAAGGTATGCATATCTAGGTCCAAAACCTGTAAGTTTTGCCGAGTATCCCATATTTTGTGCAATTTCGAAAATACGATTGAATACTTCACACGACAAATCATATCTCCTCAATAATAGTTGCGTCCATCTAATGCATTTCTGCAAAACATAAAAAATATTAGTTAGAAAACGGTACATACTCTAACAGATTATTATGTACAAACGCTGAAAGGACTATATATATATATATATATATATAAAATATAATAATTATACTGTTAAAAATATAAAAACGAAAAATGTTACCTGTAATTTGTCATAACAAATTTTCCATTGAAATATATTGGCATTTTGAATGGAAAAACTTATTAAATCAAGCCAAGCATACATGTTCATTGCAAATCTATTTAATCTATTTAATATAACATCAAACGTCTCAGAAGATTCAGATTTCAGCTGTGCCATTTTTTCTTCCTGCCTACGCTTTTCCTGGCGAATACCTGAATCGATCAGTAGAATCTTCATTCTTGCTTGATTTTTGCAGGAACCTATATTGTCAATAAATCCAGAATCGATTAATTGACTTTTTAACATTACGCCGTGTACACAAACGGCAACATCAACCTGCCCAAACTCATAGTTTTTCACAAATTCCATGCATACAAAACTGTGAGTAGCAACATCATCCAAAAATTGAATATTATTAAAATCAGTAAGATTTCCTGTTTGCAGATCCTTCCAATGAAGAAAGCACGCTGCAAGGCATACCATGAAAGATGTCGAACTCCCAAAACCGGCGCCGATTGGTATATTTGTGGACACTTTCACGCGAAAAGATGTTACGTCAAGATCTTGCTCGATAGCGATAGTATAAAACAAGAAAAAGAATATTATTAAACTAAATTTCTGCTTGTATGTCGTCCACATGCCGTTAAAAGTAATCAAGGATTTCACGTATCTCAACACAAACATTAAATTTGATTTTTCACTTGCATCTCGAGAAAAGAAGCTTTGAACATTTTCTAACGGTATATTAATGTGTACGTTAACATCAGGAAAATATATCTCAATTTTTCTCTCATCAGGCAGTTCGCAGAATTCGAGTCTGGTACGTAGATCTAAGCTGGTCGTGATGAGGAGTTTTCTATACATCGCCGAGTGCTCTCCGGATAAGACGATTCTGCCCGGTGCGGAAATTTTAAAATTGGCCATCCTTTTTATTTAATAAAAATATCCTTATTTAGTATAGAATTAATAATTAAAAAAGCAAAGAAAAGCCGTTAATAAGAATAAAAAGTAATAAGAGCAAAAAGTTTGAATCGTTCGTTATCACACACAAGACAGTGTTTATATTTCCTGTACACTTTCGCGTTTCAATAGTGACTGATTTTTCGGAATATATAATAACATTATCCCAATGTCATTAATTTTTAAATTCAAAATGAACTACATTATCAAACTTTTTTAATATTTGAAGGTGAAATCGTGAGAACGCATGTGTATATTTATACATAATACAACAATAATATATTATTTTCAATATCATAAATCAGTTCTCTATTGTAGTTATACAAAATTAAAAAATAATAAAATGTATTAATTAAAATTAACAATCAGTCAACTTGTCATTCTATTTGCATTGATACAGAATATATTAATATATACAAAAATTAATTAATGAAAGGCTCGTATAAATTAACAAAATTTAAAAAAAGGTAAATATTGTAGGCCAACTAAACGAGCAAAATAAATAAGATCTAAAGATTTATTAATAATTAAATAGTTAAATTCTCATTCCGTTAGAGAAACAATATACAGCATAAACGTTTCGACTGCACTACAGTCTTTTTCAATACATAAAAATCAAATATTAAAATACAAAATTAAATATTAAAATACAAAGTTGGTTAAACATTAAAATACAAAGTTAAACGATTCTTCGCTGATGACCAATAGATGAATAAGACGATTGGTCTGAGATTCCAAGTTTTGCGACATTTAATCATGCTGTGGATATTTTACGCAAATTAAATTAATATCAGATAAAATTAAAAATCTTTCAACTTACATTATCGTTTTAACAAGTTCTTCTTCTCGACATTTCAAGTGTGTGTTGCGAAGTCTAAATAACAAATGTCAAGTTAGAGAGCGTGATGTATCTATTTATTACCAATGTTTTTTCTAAACTATGAGAGAGAGAAAGAGAGAGAGATTCAGCTAATTTTTTAAGTATGTCAAAATAACTACTGTCTAGCAATTCGGTGTCTCTGTTTAAATTAATTCCATTTTTCTGTTCTTTAATGTGGATCATTTCAGATATTAGCCTTTTGTGGTAATTCTTTTCATGATCCATAATCTTAGTGTTATCCCAATCAAATGTATGCTGTTCATTTAGAATGTGTTCCGTGACAACCGAATGTTTAGCAGAGTCTAATTTGTTGTGTGCCTCGGGAAAGACACCAGAGGGTCGCGCCAAATTGGGATGGGAATCCGGGGCGTCAGGACTTGTCGGGTGTTTGTAGAAAATGCACTGCACTTTTCTTATTAAAATTCTTTATTCAACTTCAACCACTTGGCCTTTATTTATTTTACCAATAATACACTGAAGCTTTACCGGGTGTGCGGCACTGACTTTCTGTCACTCCGCGTATCGCGCACAACTGCGAGTCGATGCTAAGTGCGCGCGCGGTTAGCGAGATCGTGGTTAGAGCGATTGTTTGTGTCTGCGACTGAACGAGTTGTCGCGTCTCTACTCTCTTTTTATATCGTTGTTTTTTGGAGTTTTCCCCGATCGGAAGGGATGCCTGGCAACAGGTTTCCCCGGTCGAGAATCTAGGTGCAAGCGAAGCAGATTCAAAGTCCTTCTGCTTTGCTTGCACGTTGACCAATTTCTGTTCCGCGTATATCTCGCATTGTATGCGTTTTTTAACGCGGTCATTATCTGTCGTAATTCTGATTTCGCGTATACCTCGCATCGTATGCGTTTTTTAACGCGGTCATTATCTGTCGTAACTCTGATTCCGCGTATACCTCGCATCGTATGCGTTTTTTAACGCGGTCAGTGTCTGTCGTAATTGCGGATGTAATACGAGTACTCATTTCTTAATATTAGTTACCTTTTAATAGTTATATCTATTGTATATCTTTGGGGGATATAACAAATTTAATATTATTTTTATGTTCTTTAAGTCTCGTTCCTAACTGTCTTTTTGTCTGTCCAACATATGTGGCGTCACAATCATTGCAATTCAATCTATAAATAACATTAGAATTCGTGGGACAATCATTTCTGTCCTTTTGAACCCTTATGAAGTCATTCAATTTTTTAATGCAACGATATCCGACCACTACGTCAGGTCTTCTTATTGCTGAAGCGACTTTATCAGAAATTGATTCTATATATGGTATGACAAAATATTTAATGTTCGTATTTATGTTATTAGTATCTATTATATTGTTGTTGTTAGACTTGTTAAATTTCTTCGTTGAAAGATGTTTCAATCTGCGTTTTATTTCTATAAAAATTAAGTCAAGAGGATAACCGTTGGATAGCAAAATATTAATAGCTTTCTCTATATTTTTTTTGTGAAATTGAGAATGTGATAGCAATATAGCTCTATCTACCAAGCTATAAATTGTTCCTATTTTATGACAAGTCGGATAATTTGAAAAAAATGAGAGCAATCTACCTGAAAATGTCCTTTTGTGATACCAATCTAAATAAATTTTATTATCTATTACTTTGATCATTATGTCTAAAAAGCTTATACACCGATTATCCTCTTTTTCTAATGTAAATTTTAGTCTATCGTTATAATTGTTGAATTCGTTCAAAACATATGTAATATTGTCAACGGAAGTGCATAAAATAATGTCATCTACATAACGGAAATAAAAAGTTAGTTCGCAATTTAAATTACTAATTACCAATGTTTCCAAGTCCTGCATGACTATATCGGCAATGATCGGAGAAAGTGGGGAGCCCATAGGAGTCCCATAAATTTGTTTATAAGTTATGTTATTGAAAGTAAAAAATGTAGAAGTTAATATAAATTTTATCATACTTATGAAATCATTTTTGGAAATTTATGCAACATTCTATCAGAAGAAACACTAAAATATTCCGACACAATAATTTCACTGGATGTTGTTTCATTTTTAACTAATGTTTCCATAGATCTTGCATTAAACGGTATCAATAATAGATGGCATTTTATAGAGTCACACACTAAGATTCCCATCATCTCAGACCAATCGTTAACTTTGTATTTTAATACTTAACTTTGTATTTTAATATTTGATTTTTATGTATTGAAGAAGACTGTAGTACAGTCGAAACGTTTACGTTGTATATTGTTTCTCTAATGGAATGAGAATTTAATTATTAATAAATCTTTAGATCTTATGTAATTTTGCTCGTTTAGTTGGCCTACAATATTTATTTCTTTTAATTTCGTTAATTTATACGAGCCTTTCATTAATTAATATATATATTTATATTGTATATATATAAATTATATTTAAAAATATTAATTTTTGAAAATAATGATAAAATTATATCCAATATAAATAATTTTCGCATAATTTACCTTTGCTTGTCGGAATCTCTTCAGATCATATTTTAATTGTACAGAAATTTTTGCAATTTTCCTTTGTATTTCACGTTTCAGACGTTCCAGATATACTTTATTTCCACCTTTATTACTCAACAAAGTTCTATTCGATTGAACGTCTTCCTATTTTGCAGGTCTAAAATTTGCACAGATACTTATTATTCAAAGACAAATGTGATAATTTATTTTGTAATTCCTATTAATGTTTTACTTTGATCAGAACAACGTTATGACGTATAATATATATAATCGACATTAATATCGCGATGACGAATTAATTTAACGCTCGGTATTGTGCTCTACATCTTGTCCGTATCTCCCAAATATACATTAAATATTATTATATTTATTTATAGTATATATGTATGTGTGTATATAAATATCTATATGAGGGATACTTTGCCGCAGAAACCCAGGTAGCAAGCTGACGTCATTAAACGTCAAAATGACGTCATTTTGACGTCAGCTTGCTACCTGGGAAGAGTTTCTTCTATTAATCCGTTTTCATTTGTAGAGAAACACACTTATATCATGCAAATTATAGTATAAATGTAATGTAAATATTTAAATGGTACAATATTTTAAAAAATATTTAAGACACTCACGTGTTCGAAATAAAACTTAATCTTTGTCCTGTGATTTTTTTATAACTTGCAACATGATCCTTTCATCAAATCCGCCGTTATTCTAAGGGGCCTCTCAATTTGCGGTATCACTGACGACGTACTGTTAAAGACCGTCGACTCTGGGTAAATTTTTGTCTCTACCAAGTGGGCCCAGTGGGCCCGGCATCGGTCGATAATCTTGACAATAAATAGTTAATAAGAACATTTTATTTGTTCTACTATATTGTAAATTATAATTATGTAGTTTATATTTAACATAATTAATAATGAAATATATATATATACGTATTTATATACAATATATAAAATAGGAATTTGATAGTTACCGACATCATACCGACAGGCCTATTTAGTAGGTGACAAAAACTCCCGTAAGGCCGTCGGTCTTTAATAGTACCTTGCCGGTGCAACGTGGGATGCAATGTTTCTACAATCTTTCGGTGCTGTATGGCTGTACAGACACCGTTTGCCAACAAATCGTTTGCGCACAAAATTTTTGCCTACAAATATATTGCCTACAAGCTCTTTTGCACAGAAATAATAAAATTTAGGCACAATCGCACGTTTGCACATATTAAAACTATTGCGCACAAGCTATACATATTGCACGCATGATATTATATATATATATATATATATTGTCTGCAAACTCATCTACAAGCCTACAAGCTCTATTGCGCACAAATAAAAATTTAAGAGACAACGTTTGCACACACGACCTATTGCACAAGCTGCACACATGATACTATTGAATCAGCGATTGCTCCTTTTTTAAATACTTTTTTAATATTTACGAAAAACGTAAAATTTTTAATTTTTACAAAAAACATTTTTAATAGTTTTTTGCAATTATATACACTATAAAACGATTGCTTCTTAATTGCTCTGCATTGTTCTCCCAGACAGCACCAAATCCAAAATCGGCGCATAAGATATCTTTAAAATATGTTTAAGATGTCTTTCGGATATCATA